GTGCTCCAGAATTTGGCGCAGAGTGAAGATGTGGTCGATACAACCTCGACCGGGTCTAAAACCAGCCTGGTTCTCACGCGTGCGGCAGACAATCGGCGGAGTATGATGCCAGCGAGACGTTTAGAGACGATGTTAATTAAACTAATTCCTCTATGATTTTCACAAGAGGATCTATCACCTTTGCCGAACTACTGCAGCATGAACTCAACCCTTCACAGACAGTCACATGTTGTGGCGGCGCCACAAATGTCTCAAGTTGACGAATGCCATTTGAGTCTCATGTATGCCTGCCAGCACTTTATTCATGATGCGTCCATCAGGTGAGACCTAGCTGCTCAAGTAAAAAAAACTTGTCCACTTACTTTATTACTTCCCCAAATAGAATAAGGCTGAGAGCTGAATTATGCCAGTCTTGTAGCAATATACTGCACTTTGAGGTGCAAAAAGCATTCCGACTATGGCTACACTGCCGCTCAAACTGTCCAGAATGGCTTGCAACTCACCCGGATTTTCACCTAACAGCACATTGCGTCTGCATAATCCAGATCAGGCAACCTGCCGTCTGGAAGAAACTCGAAGAGCAGAGACAATGTAGATTAAACTTATTCCCCTGTGGTTTTCACAAAGAGATCTGTCATCTTTCTGGTAAATCGGTTAGATGACCGAAGAACACCATTTAGTTGGAACCTATTCCATCTCCCAGTACGAACCAAGATGTTTCGTCAATTCTAAAACCAAGGCTGACCTTACATCTCTAAAAAGAGATGAGACCAGCCCATCCGGGCCGCAAGCTTTATATCTTTTGAGGTAATTGATTTCTCCTTTTCAGATAGAGGACTGGTATCAACTGAGATTATTTGCCCAGTCGAGTTGGAGTGAAAGGTTAAATGTCGATGGAGGCCGGTTGCAATGAGTCTCGAAATATTAAGCCAATCGATCAAGACTGTGTTGCTCCTGACGATTCACTGTGCCAACGAATTCCTCAGTTGCGGAAAGCTTAGTTTCCTTGGGCCCCTATGACTAAACCGTCAGGAAACTACCAATATCGATCACGGTTGCATATTCATCAGTTTCACTTCTATCCACTGTTGGACTCATCAATGCATAGTGTTCTACCATGCTTTGATGCCCTCAAAACTTCTCTCCCTTCCGTCTCTATTAAATATGTCCCTTATTTTCCTCAATTCATTTTTGACTCACTTCCTCTTTATCTCACAAATTCTCTCTCCTTCCCGGTTTTATCCATAAATTCTTCTGTCTGTTGGTCCCTTTGATTCCCTTTAGCGCCTCGCGCAAAATTCTGTTTTCTATTCAGTGCAAGGTGCTTCTTTATATCCAAGCTCGAATTCGCTCGATGCTCGAATACTGCAATCAAGTATAGAGTGGAGCTTCCTATTCTCCTCTCTCCTTGACCGTGTTCAACGTGAAGCCATCCGGCTGACCAATGAACCGTCTTTAACTTCCAACCTGTAGTCGCTTTCTCATCACCGAGTAGTTGCTCAGTTCTCTTTTCGTTACTATTTGGATTTGTGCTCTTCTGGAATCGCTTTTGCGGTTCTCCTCCCCTCGACCTTTTCTCGTCCATCTCGTTCTCAGGTGGGCAGAAAGCCACCTTTATCAGGATTATGTCGCCAGATGTCGGACATTTATCTTTTAGTCCTCTTATTTCCCCAGGAATGCGAAATTGTGGAACACTCTTCCCATGTCCGCATTTCCAAACATTCATAATCGTACTCTCCTCAAAAACAGGATTAACAAATTAATTTTCATTTTTAATACACACCGTATAGCGCAAGCCCCCTTTGCGACTTAGTTGAGAGTATCGGTCCTCACTCGTCTCAGTGCTGGCCCTTAGTGTTATGATTTGATTGGGAAATTTCACAACCTGATTATTTCTTCTATGAGAGTAATGGAGGATTTGGTTTGTTTATACGAATTTTTCGTGTAAATGAGGCCTGAGTTGAAAAGCTGGGAAGCACTGGATAGCCGTTTCGACCTGGTTGGGTATAATCAAATTCCCGGTGGCCGAGTGGGTAGTACGTTTGCGTTCTACCTGTGAGGTCCCGGGGTTTGATCCCCAGTTGGGTCGATGGATTCGCACTTCTGCTGAGACCCAACCAGGTCGAAACAACTGTCCAGTACTTCCCAGATTTTCAGTTCATGCCTCATTTACAAGACGAATTCAGCACATGAATTGATTCACATTTCAATGTTTGCCCACACAACTTCCCCCTACAGAATGTCACTGACTATGGGGTTCACTCATTTCGCTATAAATTACTTTGTACAATTCTAAACTTACGAAAATGCTTTCTTAACGGTGACGGGAAAGCATCAACTACGGAACCGAGTGAAATAAGTGCGATGTGATTTAGTGTACACTTTTGTAAGGTTAAACATGACCAATAAAATAGGTTTTAAGGTATGAAATAACCCAATTCAGTTCGGTAGAGAACCAGAGTCCTAACTACAAACACAGGAAGGGACACATTGATTTATCTCCACTCTGCGTTAAACCTACACACTGCTGCAAACCCTCTGAACTTTGTGGTATTCAAACTCAGGAAATAACCCGAGTAGATTAACAAGTTTCGCTTCTAAATTGATCGCATGATTTATTTCGTATTTCATGTACTACTGTGTGACGAACAGTAAAGAGGGTAGACCCGATAGTCGGGAGAACCCACTGTAGATGTAAACCGATAACCAAAGATTTAGTACTTGGAATGGCGGACCACATAAGTTCCCATTAGAGAGCTTCGTTTTACTGAACCGTCCGGTAAGAGATGGGAACTCTCATTCCCGATAAACCGGCGCTCTTTTGTACCAGGTTCTGTGACTCTTTATTGTTTGGTATAGTCTATTTTTCGTAAATTATCTGCACAAATCTCCCGTAGTTAGATGGATCACTAAGTAATATGGCTCTCGGATCATCTTCGTTGAATATCGGATCGTCAAGCAGATCTCTTCTCTTTTCCGTCGAGCTCAGTTTTACATAACCATATTGAATCTCCAATTCTTCAGACTTGGTAAATCCGACAACACTCGCTAGGATGTGGTTTCCTCTGGTATGATGTGTCATGTGTGGAACTTCGTAGTGCCATAGTTGAGAGTAAAATGTCTGTTGGGAACCAGTGTGTAGCATCTGTTCCTGGATTTCTCCTGTCGAAACATAACTTGCGCATAGTTACTAATGTACGTTACCGAAATCATTTAGTTTTCTCGTGTTCAAGTGTTTTTCATGAAATGGTTTATTCTCTTAGATATCATTACATCCGGCGAACAAATGGCCTTCCGAGAAGATGTAAAAATGCCTGTCCGAAGTGAGTTTGTTTGCTAGAACACAGTTGTTCCTTTTGTTTCCGAGTTGGATTCGAATTCGTGCAATTCGCTTTTCTCCTTTCCTGCTTTACGCCCGCGGTAATGCGCCAGACTATCCGTCTTCGCAATGTGTCACAGATGGAAAGTGTTGGTCACGCATTTGATATACCTTGACAACAAAATTGCGTTCGGTCGCATGGACAGGCTTACTTTACTGAATATGATTTCAGCAAAGGTGTGGATGCACGCTTATGCTGAATCATACTTGATTATTTCACTAATTGTGTTTATTGCCCTCAGCACCGTGGCAACTTTTCGACGTACCACAAAGGTGACATTCTTTGTCTTCTTTTATGTATGTAGTTGGACTTCCCACTCCCTAAATATTTATTGGATGTTAAAATTTTTACGGTATGTTACTTGGCTGTAACTTTTCATACTCCAACGAATCCTTTGAAGTTCATAGGGGACCTGATGCAGTCATTAGGTGGTCCCCATCTCGTTTTATTCTGAACACTGCTGAGTGTCAGAATCTGATTTGTTTTTTATTACAATCTGCTGACCCATACTGGGCTCAAAGATTCGGCTTTCTCCCTCTCCTTGTTAAGCATTTCCCAGTTCCTCCAGCGTAAAATGTCTGAATTTTTTGACCCATCATCTGTCGTGTTGTGTGCACTCTCACAAGGCGTTTTGAAAGCTAAATTAATTTCATTTTTCTTAGACCAAAAATACCGCCCGTACCACATAAATCAATTCTTAAGTTTAAGAAGGCTTAAGTTCCGCGCTTGTTGTATTGTTCACCAGCTATTTTTCCTGATCTCCTTGCAAAGAATTTTATTCTTTTGATGTGATCTTTGAAACACCTATCAAAATGCAATGGAATTCCTAGAACGATCCTTGTAGATAATTTTGTTACTATACACATTGATGCATCTAACAAATCGCCTATTCTGTACTTCAAGACGTTTCACATCTCTTACATAGTGAACTCTGTTTAGCCCTGTCCACTTCCGCCGCACGAACTGGTTTTAAAGCTACCGCGTGTTCTCGCACTTCCCTTCTTCGTTGTTTGTCGCGTCTCCATGTCGACCCACAACATGTAACCAGTGTACTTCGTTCGCGTTTACTTTCCTAACTAATTTTACGTTTCACAACTTTTATTATTCAACTTCAATTTGATTTCTAATAATCTGCTTATTCACAAACTGCCTGTTGCAGAAGTGTACATTGGTGTTGTTTGACATCTCCCAACGAATGCTCATTAATCAAAATGTGTGACGAAAAGGCATCAACGAATACCGGCCCGCGACAATGCAAGGTCAATGGTTGTGTAAACTGGAGTTGGAAGTAATTTGACGGAAAGCGAACCGAACTACGCCATCCAAAGCACAGGGTCTGGGTACTCGATACTTCGGTCTTTTAAAAATTTTATGCGCAACACGATGAAAGGTATAAACCATATTAACGAGGTTCTACTTTTCCGTTAGGAAAACCGTTGACCTAAGCTCTCGGAACTGCAAAGGACATCAATAAAATAGAAGTGGAAGTTAGCCAAATTACGACGGAGCTGCTTGCCGCTAAATTTAGTGGGCTTTAACATGGCTGAAGCTTCGGCCCTTGTCGCGCGAAGCGTGTCAGCCATGTCGACTTGACCATCACCACCGTTACTGTAAAGTGCCAAATTTACTTGTAACCAAAAATGTGCTCACTCACCAAGACGGTTACACTCCAGGACGTCATAACGTCCCATTCTCTGAAATGTCTTTTATCACGCCATCTAGTGCGGCAAAAATAGAAGGAATAAAATTCATAATCATTCTGACTTACCTACCTAAACTCCGGTCACTGGAACAGTTAACCAAATAAGGCTACTTTCGGGAGGTTAGCTGTAATCCAGTGACATCCCAGCAGTCTACTATCCGATTCGGGTGGAGGTTGTTTTCATCTTTGATCAATGTTTGGTCTGTTGTGTCTTGTGCGTCCCCGGTAACAGCTTAGTTGCGCTCGTGTTATTAGTGTCCTGCTGATTTTTTTACCATGCAACTTCAACATTCCATTTTTACTCCGAACTTTTATCCAATTCGAATTTCGATTACCGTCCGCTTTCTCCTGACATACTCTTGCAGGCCTGTGCACAAAATGTGGTAGTGTTTCCAGTCAGCCAGTTTGTCAAGCATGCACACTTTTGGACGGACTTAATGCCGGACTTCCTCAACTGGCCGTGGGCAAATCGCGCGATCGCGCATTCTTCAAACATTCGGACTCAGCAAGCATCGAAAAAGACTGAGTTTCGTCACAGTTCTAACCGATATTTTTCAATCCTGCTTTCCCTTTACTCTGTATAATAAATGCTTAATTGGATACGTTTGCGTATTTTTCTATTTGGAGCAAAATGCCCGCAGTCATGCTTATCGTTCAGAGTTAGCTAGACAAGAATCTATTTGCTACACAGTGGATTTAACTGTGATATACGGTAATACAGCTTTGATTCTCGGCTGAAGAGAGGTTCCCGGGTGAATGAATGAACGAATTAGCAGCAACGTGAAAGAAATTCTTGGAGATTCCCGTTATAAAATTCCGACTACTAGTATTTGGGAACAAAGCGATTGATTCGAACAGACGGATAAATACTACCTCGACTGTTGATAACTGACCTTGACAATCACCATTTGATGGGCTAGGAGGCCCCCGTTAGATCTTCATTCACTTCGTTACCCAAATCTGCTACTGTCGGAGCTCCATCACGACGAGATTGCATCTTGACGTATTGTGATGGCTTGCGCGCCTCAATGACCCTGCGAGCTATACAGGATCGCTCCTCAGCGGCAGATTAAATCATGCTTGAGAGGTGAAGGGGTAGAGACCAGAAGAAGATCAGTCTCACAAGGCCAGCTGCTTGTGCACCTCCTGGCTTCCTTTTCTATCCACACCATCCCCTGGAAAGGTCACTCCAGTAAATAAACACGGTGAGGAGTGGTTTACCGGTCCAAAAAACCCCTTTAGATGGACGTAGAAGCAGGGGTACCTGGGGCTTCCTCCTGATGGTGAGAGAAGTCTTCGCACTTCACTGGACAGCTACCACCCACCCAAGCTGAGCAGCCCCCAGCCAGCTGTCCCGTCCACGTTCTGCTTGTCTCATTGGTTGCATGCGGCTAAGGGCCGATCTCGAAAAGCGGACCGATAATCAACGCACCAGCGAACTACAACACTAATCGAAGTTGAAAGGTCTTGAGTGATAGGTCTCTAGAAGCTCCCACACGGGTGTTTCGTTCACGCTCCCGCATTGGATTTACGCCTCACTGCCTTGTGGGTCAGACTTTTGAGTCAAAGGCTCCGGTTAGGG